CTTTAACAAGGTGAGCGGTATGTCTGGGCTGCCGCAGACCATCGTTTCCAATTCAGGTCCGCTGAACAAGGCGAGAAACGGCACGGGTATGACTTTTGACATTCCTTCGCGGACAGCGGCTACCTGAGCGTCAAACTCGTGTAATCTGTAATTCAGTGCCAGCTGGACGTACTCGTGCTTGTTTTCCGGAGTGATTTTTCGATATCTGAAAAAGGAAACGAAGAATGATCGCAGATAATAACCTAATAAACCTAACCTAAACCTAACCTAACCTTTAACTGTCGATGATCGACGAATATGGGCAAAGCAAATAAATACCTGCTGGACAAAGGTACGTCGTGTCCTACGGCGGACGGCGTGGAGAACGGCATTTCAAGCGTTTGGAACACCTTTTCGTCGGGGTCCATGTCTCGGATGCACAACAAGCCAGGGACGTAGTCCCTGTCAACTTCGGTCAAGTCCGCCGGTGTTAAAGATATGCCTGCAAGCTGTTTCCACACGGGCTCTGCCAGGTTCAAGCTCAACGGGCTACCGGTCCTTATCGCTATGCCCATTAAAATGCCGAGAAATCGGAACATGTTCATGTGCAATGGCGAGTCGGCCATTGGATTCAGGAGGAAACAATCCCGGTTGGTGCCGCTGTCGTCTCGGCCGTTCGGCGTCGGTATGAGCAGAGGTAGAGAACCGTTTTGCAACTCGTCGCACATTTCCGCTATACTCTCGCTGTAACCACCACCGCAATCGTCCACGCTCTCCCCTGTTGAGAATAACACGGGGGAGGATATTATTTCTTATTTCCCCCAGTTATATTTTTCATACCGTAAATAGTAGTAGTAAAAAATTTTCGTTTCCACCCACCGATGAATTTCACTTTCCAGACTCTGTGGGGAAAGAAGAGTACATCTTGCGTGAGCAAGGACATCTTGGAGACCATTTGACCAAAGACGGATTTAATGCCGTCCTGTCCTGCCAATCCACTTCCCTTGCTTCTGGCTCGTTTCACCTGTATCCGATTCAATTCTATCACCGGGCCGTGTTGCCGGTCTCTGACCATCGTGGCCTGAACCACCTTGCGGAACGTTGCTTCTTTGATGCTGTAGACCAGCATGGGCGCCAGTTTGCTCAAGCTGACAGGGCCGGTGATGGGAAACATTGGCAGACACGGGCAAAGTAGCTCGGCAAAGTGATGGAGCAGCACCAGTCGGTTGTGCAAGACGGGGAAGGGCAAGTCCTTTACCAAGTCGTACTCCATCGGCGTGGTGGCGGGCATTCTGCTCTGAGTAGCTTTCACCGTGCTCCACGCTAGAGTGTGAGCGCTGCCGCAGGCGACTCGAGTGATCTTTTTACCCTGGAGCGCGTGAACCAGTCTCGGTCTCTGGAGCGCGCTCGTTGTCCCATCGCCTAACTGGCCTTCGTCGTTGTCTCCCCACGTGAAGACTTCGCCCTTGTCGGTGCAGGCCACGCAATGCAACGAACCCGTCGCTATGGAGATGATCTTCTTCCCTTGCAGGGCCGCCACCTTTCGCGGTCTTCGAACGTGATCGTCCGTTCCGTGGCCCAAACGATGGTAATCTCCCTTGCCCCTGTTTTACGTGAATTATGTAAACTGTGTGAATCATCGTCGCCCTTGATTTGCGATAGTGTGTATTCAACCCTTTCGATACCCATTCATTCAAGCTGTGGATGGACTGTAGCAAGTGTCCACG